GATTAAAAAAGGGCAATTTTAAATAATCCTTCAAGAATTGATATAAATTTATTTAAAGGATTTCCTTGTTTTCTTAATGAAATTGATTATTTTCTCATTTACAAAACGAACTTTATTTTACGTCCTAAAAAAAAAGATGAAAACGGGGGTGGAAATGGTATGTAAAATTTTAAAAAGGGGTGATTGCGAGATGCTTTCAGTATCTTCAGTAAATTGCATACTCCCTTACAAAAAAAATCCAAAAAAAAATTCTACACAACCTATTCATATAAGAATAATTTGACTGTTCTTCTACATCCCTTTTGAGATAATTTTTGTTGAAGTTTTCTTTCATTATTTTACTATTCAGATATAAATTTTTACATAATTATTAAATTAGTTTTTTTACATTTATATTTAAAATTTTATAATTAAAACAAACAAATATGCATTAAATTAATCTTTTTAATTCGGAGTTACGTATATAAATATTAGATAAGTATGAAAGCAGCTGAAGCTAAATTTTTTACTTATTATGTCATAATTATGAATTTCGGTGCTTTTTAAAAATTGGTATACTGTATTAAAGGTGTTAATAATAAATAATAAATACCATCAGATTTGTCTTCAAAAGCAAGTCAACAAATCATCTTTTATTCGATCGTAGAAAGATATTCCGAAGGACTATTTCATACGTAAATGGTGTTGCGGCAGAGTGAGGCGTTTACTTACAGGCATTAGCATTTTCAAAAGGACATCATTTCTACAATTTTAACAGTTTTGCTTCTGAAAATTTATTTTGTATTAATTCAACGTGAGATATGTTATATGATAGCAGCATCATATAAAAATGGTTAAGTAATTAAATTAATAAAAAATATCATTTCATTTTCGGTTAATTGCATTCACATGTCATTACTTATACATAGTTATTGGGTTTTGTGATAAGAGATTTGGCCTTGCAATTCAAGCTTCCAGGTTACATGCCCACCTCGGACAGCCTGATATCAAGAAGATAGTGTCATTGCTTTTCCCGCACCAGAATTAAATATGCGAGCAAAAAAAAGTAATAATCAATAAATATTATATAATCGTTTTAAATATTTTCAAAGACAAAATTAATATTACTATATTATTAACTATAACTACTATATTATTATAACTATATTTATTCGTTCATATAATATGCAGTGACAATCTTATCGCACAAAACACTTGAAAATATTTACATACATATTTGGCGAAGCCGGATGAATCCATCTGAGGATATATTTCTTGCGAGTAAAATAACGCATGTGAAATGCATACATTTTTAAATTGAATTGTAAATTTAAAATTTATGTTTATATATATATATATATATATATATATATATATTAGAAAATTTTGAAAAAAAAATCAGAAAATTTTGAAATTTGTGTGAACCATATAAGTTAACTTTAAAAAGTCAAATACTTGGTACGGAACCCCAAAAAATTGTAACAAAATTAGTCCACATGTTTAAAATCTTTTTAAGATATCTGATAGTTGGATGTGCATATTTCTAATGATCATTTTTTACCGCCAAATATCATTTTTTTTACCTTTTTCTCTGTATATCCGAAACCGCTAGATCTGTCTTACCAAAAATTTCACCACTTTTTCATTTCATTAATACAAGTAAAATATTTTTTGAATCCTTGAATTTGTCGACGAAAATTTGTATCCAAATATACACACACATTCATTCATTTTTTCTAAAGTATGCAAAAATGTTCAGAAAACTTTGAAACAGAAAGATGTGCAAAAAATTTTATTTTCGGGAAGTTAATTAGTAAACAAGTGGAAGCTTTAGTACTAAAATAACACCCAAACAAAAATATTCATAAGAAAACAACTTTCTTAATTTGTATTTTTTTAATAATAAAAATAGTGTTGACAATAACATTACATATATAGATAAATCAAATATTACATGAATATACATTTCAAATTTCATGTTTGATTCCATATCAATATAACAGCGAATGTAATTTAACACTGGGAATACATGAAGGAATTAAACACCATTTTAATATCAACTTGTTATTGATCGCAGAACGCCCAAAGTTTTAATTTTAAATAGAGAATTGGCATACTGCAGTTAACATTTTTAGGGACATTTTAAAGTTAAAAAGGTTATTTTTCTTTCTGTTTTGCCTATATTGTTAATTATAAACCCCGTAAATCTGTCGAAAAAACGTGCTGAGCTTTAGGACCTATTATATGTTTAGAAACATAAACATATTACAATAAACTGAATTATATTTTTGGTCATCAATTAGTGTTTAAGAGTAAACAAATTAATATATCTAATTTTATGTTTTATAGACTATACTCTGTAACATTTTCACCATGTTTCGTATTAGCTAAGTCAATTGTACTTTGTATGAACTTTTGTTTTAAAATTGAATGCTAATAATATAACTCCATTTTGCTACATAATGATTCATAATAAATACTATATTCAAATCAGTCTTGTGGTTTACTTGTATTTCGTTGGAATTCACTTCACAACTCTGTTTTTCAATATTGAGGTAGATTATTTCAGATTATGGAATTATTACAATTTTAAGTTATTATGATGTTTGTACATTTAGTTAAAAACTTGAAGAATTGTATGTTTTTAAATCCTAATTCATTGTTCAAACGAGAAAAAATATAACACCATAACAAAATCTTATAAAAAATTATCACTGCATTAAAAAAATATTATTTTATCATTTGACTGCGACGTAATTAAAAAAATAATACATCAATAAGTTTTTAATAAATATAAATATTTCCAGTTAATTAGCAATCGGTTTTACATATAATATTTATTTTATCTCATGAGATTGTCGACTATAACAACAAGTAAAAAAATCCAAAAATAAATATAATAAATTTGATCATATAAATTTTTATTTTTTATCTAAAAAGCAGTCAAATGATTAAATATTACGAATTAAATATTCACTTATAACGGCGATTTTTTTGAAAAATTATTGTAACATTATTTATGTAACAACATCTAAATATTTATATAATGCTTCCATAGATACACCCATTTTACACATAGATTTTAAATTTGTTTTACATTGAAAATATAATTAAATTTTACGTTTTGTAAATATTTTAGTTTCATTTGCGAGGTAATCGTTTTTTGAGGTTTAAATGAAGTTCTTACAGATTGATAACATTTATCTAAAATAAATGAAAGCTCCATGTTTGATAGTTTTATCAATGTTTTCCTTCATTTTCTATTATATTTTTATAAATTTACCTTCTAAAACTATGATTTTTCTAACTCGAATATTTCAATCTTTGTTATATTACGTTAAATTTTAATTTATAATCTATTATATTATCTATAATTAGTAAATTCGTTTTATATCGTAAATTCTACTATGATATATTATTTATTTGAAAATATTCCGTAATATCAACACAAATTGTAACATAATAATGTCTTTAATAAAAAAAAGATAGAAAAAATTATTAATCTTAAAAATAAAGAACTTTCAAACATAGATTAGACTTTTTTTAAATAATTTATACAAAAACTGTTAAAAATAATAAAATTAATGATAAAATTTAAAAATTTAAAGAATGTTCTTTACTATGTAGTGTGTAAGTATTGGATCTCAAGTGTTCACGTTTTAAAAAGATTGTTACCAAGAACATGTAGTGCATGCAAAATCTATGTTTTAGAAAAGACGGAAGCGAATTTGCATGTTTGCAAATGCCAGAAAAAGGACACGAAATAAAACCATAAATAAATTGCAAACGGGTACACGAACGGTTCTGCCAAGGACAATACGACCGTACCTAAAAGGCAATATCTTCTTTGAAAGCAATAAAAATATAGAAACTGCTCCAATTTGGTTAAAACTTTCAAAAACTATTTCTTTGCTTCGCAAATATTTTTACTGGCGGAATTGTCATTGATTTTGCAGACAATTGTGCCAAAAGACGACTTTACGGGCAGGTACAGGATTTCTAGTTTCTGTTCGTTTGAATGATTTTGTGTGACCTTCTATATAGTAATTTGTTTAAAAAAAAATTAGCATTTTGCAAAAGTATGTGCAAGCTCTGCGCAAAAGTTTAATGGTTGGCAAACAAATATATACTATTACTATTATAAAGTTCTCTTTTTGTGTATAAATGATGCTGTCGAACAATTATGAATATTCAAAAGGTATATGAGAAATAAAATTTTCACCCTTGGTCATACATAACCCTCGCTAATCCTTGTGATAGTTTTCAAAAATACGTGAAAAAATACATATTCACGGAACCCCTAATTTTGCATTTATTTTACATATGGCCTTTGTTACGCAAGAGATACTGGACCCTCAAAACGAAGGGTGTATGTTTAATTCCCGTTTTGCGTATAAAAATGTATTTTATCAAATTTTTATCCATTGTCCGAGTTCGTTTGATATAAAATAAATAATAGAAAACTACTACGTCATGGCTCATTGTGTGATTTCAAGCAGTTAATGAGAAAAAATATAAAAATATTGAACTGAAATGATCATATTGCAAGTTGCATAATAAATATAAATTAGTTCAAATAATAATTTGTAATTCATACATTCATAAAAACTGAAAGAAAAACATAATAAACTACAAAATCAATCAAACAATAAAGTAAAAACAAAATAAATTAATAAAAATATATAATTTTATTCACCGGTAATAAAAAATCTTGGTTTACATAAATTCTATCCTTTAAACGATACAAACAATTTGCATAATAAATGACTATAATTCATATGACTAGGCGAAGCGAACCAGCGTGATTTATAAATTATTTACAATATATACAATTAAGAACATGAGGTAGATCAGAGTTGAGGTACAAAACGGTGGCCCGCTCCGCCTGATTTTTTAAACTATATCGAGGAACTTCCATAGCAAAAGAAATAACATTATAACTGTACACATAATATTAATAATAATAATAATAATAATAATAATTCATTCGTATCAATTAATTACAACATAATAGTCCCTGATTTTTCATATCTATACATATAATTATATCTATACATTCATATACATTTATTCTTTGTTCTTAAATAATTAACCTTACAACTCAGCGGTGTTCCATGTGTCGCCTGAGCTTAGCTTGGCGCTGCTGGAGATACAAAGCGGCGGCGTCGTCCAGGTCTTCGGGGTCACTCATACTGACGGGAGATAGGCTGGAGTCAGGAGCGCTGCTCAGGGAGTGGTTCCTTGCACCCACTGATAAATCTTCTGGTTCTGTTTGTTCTGGTTCCGAACATGCCGTTACTAGTAAAGGAGCCAAAGGTTTCGTGATTGGTGGTGGTCGAACAACTCTTCTGACATCAACAGATTTTCTTGCGCCTTTTAACGGTCTATCAGCAACTTCAGCCGCATGGGTCAAAGCATGCGCTTTCAGTTGGTTGGAATCCGCAAACTTCGCTTGGCATAATTCACAGCCATAAGGGCGTTCTTTGGTATGCACTAAGATGTGTCTTCGTAAATTAGCCACTTGAACGAATTGTCTTTCGCAGTATGAACAATGGTATGGCTTCTCACCCGTATGAAGACGCATATGCGTCTTCAAATGATGGTCTCTGGTGAATCTCTTCCCGCATTCTGTGCAAGAAAACGGTTTCTCACCTGTATGTGTTCGTTCATGATTTTGAAGCACGTGTTTATAGCCGAAAGATCGTGAGCAAACCTTACATGTGAAAGTTTTATCACGAGACGGATCCTTTGTCAAAGTTGGCGCTGTATCAGGTGATGATCCAGAGGTAGGTGGAGATAAAGGAGGTGTTTCTGCCAAAACTGTTCGTGGTTGCGCTTTGCGTTTTAAAGTCTTCTTATCTAGCCTCACATACTCGTTATTGTTATCATTGTTGTTATTATTATTATTGAGATTCAGCATATTCTTCTTTCCTGATTTGATTGGTGTCTGTGGCTGTGGTGGTGGCGATGTATTATGGGCAGTAGGCCACCCTCCGAATAATGTGTGATGAGCAAATAAGCTGCTCACCGGCAGACCTGCTGCCATTAGGGCTGCAGCCGTATGGTTCGCAGCTAAGAGTTGACCAGGAGTCAGCAGAGACATCGGTGGCGATGGGACTCCGGGGTAAGGCCCGCAAGGGTATGAAGGTGTAGTATTCATTCCTGAATTTGAATTATTGTTGTTCAAGCTCATAGGCGGACTGTGAGACGATGGGCGATCTTCAGGATCGAGTTTTAAGGACGCCAAAGCTCGCACGCTTATACCTAAAAAGAAAAAGAAAAACATAAGTAAATGATAAAAAAAATCGTTAAATATAATTTATTAAATTGATAAATAGGTTAATTAATCAATAAGTTACATTCGTAAATGAAATAAAATAAGTAAGACCTAAACAATAGTCAGTAGTAAAAATGTTAAAAAAATCATACAAACATTTTACGTACGACAAAGTCCCATGGGCTACTAAAATTCATTCAAATGACTATTCATCGGCCGTGTGTACAAACATAACGTGATTTCTGCAATTTATGTTTGTCATCCGAGGATAATGCGACACAATAAAATTCAGTGAAATAAGTAAAAGTATAAACACGATTCAAGATGCGTGCTCGAAAACCTCTATTGTTCGCGCCAACGTCTTTCAGCTTCAACGATTTTCAATCGATCGATCGTCTTCAGATGAATCCGAAAAATTTTATAGTTTTCTCCAATAATGCAAACGTGTTGTTTTTTTATTCAGATGTTTTCCTATCTGGATGTTTCTATAGTAGGTGAGCGGAAGATACAACACTGTCAATTCTTCAAAAAATTTATACAATAAGAAAACGATTCGCTTGTGTCACAAACACGCGCGTCATTTTATATTTATACGGTTGTCTTTTGATTGATGTACATTTTTCATGGGTGACAGAATTTTGGAATCGTTAAACAATGTTATAAAGTGAACATCTATTATAATCATTATTGAATATTTCAAAACTTTTAAATAATAATTAAAAATTAATTAATATCTCAGGTAGAAACATGTGAAAATTCCTAATGAATTGGAGATAATACCAAAGTGTTAATGACTGAAATTACCTTTAAATATGTGAATTTATCTTGAATTTATCAATACATTAGGGAAAACTGTTAGGTTTTTAACAACTACTGCTCCAGATGGCTAATAACAAAAAATATTAATTAGAAGGAGTTCATAGCAAAGTGTCAGCAACAGAGTCTATATTTAGATATGTTATCGAAGTGTCTAACACTTCATTGACGTATCCGTTTTGAAATCGAAGAGAAAAAATGTTAAATGAGAGCGAAACGATCCTATGCGACGGCAGCTGGTGATTCCCAACCTATTTCAACTAGTTAGATAAAGAAATTATAGTCAATAGCAATGTCATTAATTAATTCAATATTTCACCACAAAGAAATGAAAAATTAAGAAGCTAAAGTATAGTAAAACTGTATATAATCACAGCAAAAAGTTTTAGGAACTAGTGCATTTAAGTAAAAAAAAGAAAGTTGTCTTCAATCAATAGAATTCTCTGAAACTTTCTAAACTGACTTAGTTTTTGCGACCTAAAATTTGCACATGTTCATATTTTTTGCCTGTGCAATATTTTGTTTGTCACTGACAAAAATGTATATCCTTGCCTCCTGCTTTTCGCTGCATATGGTAGCACATGAATCGTTAACAAAAATATTTATACGTCATAAGAATATATCACAATCAAATCTTTCATACATTTATATAAATTTACAGATTAATGTTTGACATAGCATATTTGTGTCTGACATGCTTGAATGTGTGATCACATGTTTTTGAGAAGGTTTCGTGCTAAAAGGCAATACGGACGGCGACATTGAGCCGAGCCAGCGGCAGCACAAGAGTAATGGATAAAGATACCCATCTCCAAAAACGTTAACATTAGTTAAAAATGACTTGGAATTCTCTAAAAACAAGGTGGTTTTAATTTCGAATTACACTAATGACCCTTTAAGATTACATGCCTCACTAATGGGGAATTAGAATAGAGCAAAAAAGTAAATGAAAATGTAGGTAAAAATAGCACAAAATAGCAAATTGATAAGGGAGAACTTGTAAAAATATAGATTTTTACTTTATAGCATTTATTTTCATTGTTTCTTTCATAAATCACATGAATGCTATTGCAATCAAATTTTAAAGTCAATTATTTCAATTTTCAAAATAATTCAAATTATTTTGAATTTAATTTTATATATCCTTACGTTTTTGTAATTATTATACCTGTAAAGGCAATACCTAACTGATTTTTCATGTAGTTTCGCATCTTCTTATCTTTTGCCGTACAATTAGCTTTGGCAAACACATTGCATAAAATAGAAGCGTAATACTTGACGTGGATGCTATAGCATTCATATTATATATTATACAACAATTAAAATATTATAAACTGACTACCTTTATAAACGGTGTTTAATCTAATTTCGGATATCACAACAAATTTGAAGATAAAAGGAAAGGACTGACCATATTTGTATCTTGCTGAAACTTTTATTTTCCTCGAACGTGTAAAGAAAGAATCTACATTTTTGTTTTGCAATTCTGAAAAATATATATACATAAAGCTTTAACCAAAATAAAAAGCATAAACTTTCTTTTTAAATATAATCGGCAAAAATAAAATTGTACATAAATAGTTAAAGAAAAATGGTAATAATAAATATGTAATAAATTTTAAAACGGTGAACATTCGCATAGTTAATTTAATTTAGATCAATTTTCAGGACAACAAAATACTTACAGCTAGTAATTTAATGAATTAATGAGTATTTCAAGTCCTAATGATTATCAATTATAATTATAATATTGATAAATTTAGTGGATGAATATATCAATTACAAATGACCACAAAAAAAAGCTTGACAATCTCTTCATTCGACGCCCGAGTCGATCTCTGGGATCTGTCCGACGGCCGTGGGGGGATTCCGCTAAGAAAGCAGAAGGCGCTGAGAAAGTGGGGGACAGCCTATCGATTGCCAGCGTCGTTACGAAGGTTTTAATTGGGCGGAGAAGAAGAAAAACCCACTCTCCAAATATTGAACGGGCGGCGGATGGTCGTTCGGACTGGGGAAAAACCATGGGCCACTTGATGAGCTCCCAAATAGGGATAGGAAAGAAATATTCATCGGTGTAATCGACATAGAAACATTGTAATTGAACGATTATAGATGAATTTTTTTGACTAACATGATGATTTACAAACTTCAATTGGAATAAATATTATTCATCTAACTTTCTAAAGAATTTCTCATCCCTATACTACCCCTAGAACTTTGGACACATATAAAATACACACGGCTTCTCGCATTGCGCACCCTGCTACGCTAATTACTAATTAGTGTTTCATTACGCCCATGTAGGTATTTATTATGTATGTTATATATGTGGCCCTACGTAATTTTAGGTTTTTTGTTGTTGCGATATATATAGACTGAGCTGCAATTAATATCAAAATATGTAATAGATCCATCAATTCATTGTGAATTATTAATTTTGAAAATCATTATTTGATATATAAAATACAAAGAACGTAATTCAATTAGCATGATACTGTAAGAAAAGCTATGTATGAAAATGTATCGTTTCTGTGATTATAAAAATATTATAATATTTCCGTTCGTGATTTTCAATTGTAAGTAATCCCGTAAATTATCATATTAAATATTGCATGATGCAGTGTTTAGTCCTATATTAATTTTTTCTTTTTATTTCAATATTTTGTGATAAACATCATTTTATTAGTACATTTAGAACCGCAGCTTTGTATTCCATCTACGTTACTTTATCCCGAATCGTCTAGAAAATTTTATATCATTTACAAATGTGTTTTTAAGATGCCAAATAGACCGTTCACTTCCTCATCCAAAAAATATTAAGCAAAAAAATTAAGAAGTCGGAGTTAACTAAGAAACTATAAATTCCATAAATGAAACAGATGCATTTATTATACCGGAAACAGTGTCACCATATGCATGCACACCATACATTGACGAATAACTGATTCACATTTACTTGAATAACGGAAAATATTGATATCAACAAAATATATTTTTTTAAATATTATATTAATATTAAGCAGAATTTCTGTCAAAATTGCCTCATCGTGTTTATTCTTACTCTAATTTTGCTATATTTTCTAATGCGAAAGATCTAGTGCAATATAAGATTTTGTATAGGTAATTATTTAAAATTCTAATTTAATCTAATTGAAATCTAATTCTAATGACTGAGAATATGGAATTACTACTAATACCACCTAATAGTAAGCGAAACACTATATTTTAAATAAAAGCTTGTTTTTGAACCGATTATAATATTGAATGCCTGTTTATGGTAATTTTATTATTCCAAATTGTATATCAGATATAAATTGATAATTGATATTTTTTTATTATAATTTTATTTGATCATCTATCTACAAGAGATATAAAATCAATTGCATGGCTTAGAATTGAACAAAGTAAGAAAAAGCTAAAATCTGCAACCAGTGATGCAGTTCTTTACAGTATGATATATGGATAATTGATAAATTGAAAAATAATTTGTCTAATTGATAATTAGAAAAAGTAGATTATTTTCAATAGTAAGAAATGTCAATTATGATATGATCTAGTGGCCTGTAATCTTAATCTTCTAAATTCGCATTTACCGCATTTCCATTAATATTATGCATATATTAAACCGCAATCTGCCCCATAAGGTGTTCGCGGAAAACCTACATGTATACATATGGCGCGCCGCGGTTTCACAAAGAATTTTCACACGCGCACGAACACATGTGCACGCATGTTACGTGCGAGAAAACCACGTGTTTCATATGCAAATCCATGCGCAAGGTTCAAATCGGACAAATTCAAATTGTAAACAATCAATGCACCAAGATAGAAGATAGTGAATTATATAGTAAATGTTTTCAAAACAAATCCGAAGGAATCTTGAAGGAAGCTTTCAGAATAATTATTTGATTCGAGATAAAAAATGAGTTTGGATGTAAAATTGTCAGTTAGTATTTTTGGAAATTTGGTTTTATATTCTGGTTAGTAGTGAAACATATTTTCAACGTCTCAAAGATTACGTTACATTTATTCAAACGTTTTATGATTACGATAATATACATATAAGACTGAATAATATTTGTATCTGTTAAGATTATTATTTCAATATTTTGTAATTTTATTTTGTTAATATTCTGTTTATTATTTACATTTATATTTTTGTATTTATGTTTAATTATTTGTTTTTTATATACTCAACAATTTTGTATTATAAAACTTGAATAAAGTTTTGATTGACAAAAAAAAAAAAAAAAATATTTGTATCTGAATGATGTTACATATATTAACGTGAATTTAAATAAATATACGTATAAAAATCTTTGATGTAATTATATTAATGCATCGGAATTTATCAATTTTATAAATTTTTAAAATTGTAAAAAATATTGTAATTAAAAATTATAATGAAGATATTGTCTTTCAAGTTAAGTATAAGGTTATTATAATTGAACTTCTAATACAAATTGTGCAACAATAAGTTGAACAATTTTTTAATATAATTACATCAAATAATGAAAATTATTGAAGAGATGTATGTATCAATTACCTCGAGCTGTTTGTTCCTGTAGCAATGACAATGCCATCGGATAAATCTTGCTTTTCAAAGAAAATTCTGTCTTGAAAAAATCGCAATCGCTTCCGATTACAACAAATCAACACGATAACACATAACCAATTTGAATAAAATAATAGAAATTATTTTATAAAAGTCTCTGTCTTATTGATGAAAACTGTCCTTTTTCACAAGTTCACAAGATTACGATACAAAACATGAATATGAAGCGTGGTAGTATATTTTAGGCACGTCCATACACTTCACCGTACGGTAGCGAACTGATTCTAAAGTTGTCTGAGCCGAGGGTGGGCCGATTCTCGATTCAGGGTTTCTAGTGGAACGCGCAGGGGTGAAGGGCGAAGGGTGAGAGAGAAAGAAGAAAATTTTGGAACGCGGAATATACATTTCATCCCCACTGTTGGCGATGCGAGCGGCCTATAGCGTTTCGTATAAGCCCTGCACTGGCCTTACTCTTCTAGCTCGGAGCCCTTCTCCCATCGCGGTCATCTCGTTTGTCCTGGTCGCACTAATGGACATCATCGTTCCCCTATCCTCGCTTTTTACGCAGACGGAGTCACTTTTATTTTTCACTTCTAGTTTTTTACCATCTTCAAGTAAAGAGCCTTAGAGCCTACCTACGATCCCGGATACGCGCAAACACTTTACAGAATCCTCGATTCTTAGATATCGAGAACAACGTCTTTTCGTGATTGTTACCGGAATTTTAATTTCTTTTGAGTAACTGCAAGTTTAGCATGATTTAGACTCTAGACTAGAGTTATCCATTAAATAAACCAAGTAAGACAATAAAGGAAATATAATTAGATATACATTCAATGAGCTATTTGTAGAAATTTTTGCTGTTTGAGAATCAAAACAAATTTTTTGAAAAAATTAAATAAGACAATTAAAACTCTTACAATTATTCGAGACGATATCAAATTGTTACCGAAATTTTAATTTCATTTATGTAACTGCGAATTTAACATGATCTAGACTTTAGAGTTATCCATTGAATAACCCAAGTAAGACAATAAAGGAAATATAATTAGATATACATTCAATGAGCTATTTGTAGAAATTTTTGCTTTTTGAGAATCAAAACAAATTTTTTGAAAAAATTAAATAAAACAATCAAAACTCTTACAATTAATCGTGACGAGATCAAATTTAATCGATTCGTATTCAATACAATCTTAACATTATTTATCTTTTTTGAGTTAAAATGAGAAGAAATGGTGTAGTAATGTTATTGAGAATTATTTTAATTATTATTAGTTAATCAGTAATATTTCAATTTACATTTTACTGAAGATGATATAAAATAATTTGTCGAAATAATAGATTTTAAAATTTTTTACTATTTTTATTTGATGTATTGCCTAGAAATAAGTTCTTATAAACGAACAAAATTTGTGAAAAAAAAACAAATATACGAGTCAAATCTCCTAGGCAATACATCAAATAAAAATAGTAGAATTTTTTAAAATCGAAATAATAGATTTTAAGAATTTCTAGTATTTTTATTTCATGTATTACCTAGAAGATTTTGACTCATATATTTAGTTTTTTTCACAAACTTCGTGCGTTTATAAGAACCTGTTTTCTGCATAAATATTATCTTGTATCATATCAATGTTGTAATAACAAATATGAAACTTTATTCAGAGATTCAGATATTCAGTTAAAACTTTACTCGGAAAAATAATTTATATGTACAGGGTAAATATTTCAGCGGGACTTGTGAATAATTATTTTAAAAATGAATAATAATAATAATCTATATTTGTAATTATTGGAATTTGAATACTAAACTGTATTTAAATATAGCTTGTGCCTTTCTTGGATTCAGGCCAATTTGCAATAGTAATCGCTGATGAAGTGTGTAGTTTTATCGAAAATATTCTTAAAATAAAATTTCGCAGATTTTTTTAATTTTCTGTAGAGTTATAATAATTGCAAAAAAATTGAAATTGAAAATTTTTGAACATCTTGCATGGTCTTTGCATAGCTAAATAGATTAATTGATACTGCACTTTTAGCTATGATGGAACCCCAGTAAAAATATATGAAAAAATCCAAATATCTTATTTAGACATGTTCAAAAAAAAACTCTTAAAATTTCGCATTTTTAATTTTTTTTAACATGTCTAAATATTTCATTCAAACTTTCTCATATATTTTTGCAGATATTTCAATATTCCTAATAGTGCAACATTTATTTATCTATATATGCAAAATTTAATCAAATAACAGTTAAACTAAATAATAAATTAAAATAAATAAATTTGCATGTCATGTATTGAATTCGTAGTGTATTTCGAAAGAAATATCTAATGTTCACCTTATGCTATTTTGCCTTCAAACATATTTTTGAAAAAGTATCGAGGATGAGAATAATACATTGGATGCTGTAATATCAAGTAAATAATCATAAAATTGAAGACATTCAGAAAAATTAACATATTTCTTTAATAAAACCCAAATCCGATTTTTAATATATAAATATTGTAATTACTTTCAGTTTTGGATAACAAATGATAAGCAAAGTAAAAAAATGATAAGAATGAATGTAAATTTTAGTTAAAAAATATCGCCGTTGTTTAAAAATTATTTTTTTTATACAAAATCAGTTCAAATCTCTTGGACGCTATAAATCATATAGAATGTAACTAAAAATAAGTTCGTGTTAAATACCAATAAATTATTTCAAGGAGTGGAATTAGACCATAATCAAGTATTTGTAACTTCATATTTCTTATTGTTTAGTATAGTGGTAATCAATTATTTTTCAAGTTGTACACGCCAATCATAAATGTTTCCTCTTACCTTTGCTAATTGAAAGATTTCTTACAAGTGCGCCAGTAAATGAATTTCATAATAAGAAATTCTATTTAATTTTATATTGAACAAGACCGATCGCCTCCGGACTGAACACATACACATGCACATGCACTGGTACTATTTCAAAATGCTCAACAAAAATATCGTACAAATAACATTATCAACAATTTGAACTGACCACAGTTTGTACAACCGAACAAAGAAATGTAAACAGTCGCACGGTTTCAAGTCCTGTTCGACTGACATTGACATGACTATTTCGATTGAAGTTGATAACAAAATTTATAAGTAATAATGAATTTTGTGTTTGCCTTTAAGCCAAACACGGTTGAGATAATATCTAGTTTTACTTGATTTTTTTAAACGCTGATTTTAGGGTAATTATAAAAGTCAAATGGTTTTTTCAAATGCATTTGTAAAGTACTTAAGTTAAAATAATTATAAGATTGAAATATTGTTTTGCAAAGACAGGTAACAATATTATGGGAAGTGAACAGGTATGCTTTTTCAGCATATTATAAGTCATTTGAAATATTTATATGTAGTTATATATAACTCTTCGGGTTTCAAACTAGAAATCCAAAATAACATACAAATTTTATCCAATATATAATACATTTTTGTAGAAAAAATTACAATTTGCTTTTATATAACAAAAACATTTGTTCAGTAATTATTATGTCTCATTTGCAGAAAAGGAAAAAAGGGTAATCTTTTTTTAAAAGAAAAAGGCAAGATTTAATTTCTTCTGAATTTTTTAAAGTTGTTTAAAATTAAATTTATAGAGGCATAGTTAAATTTAAATTTGAACAAAAACAAGAACAAATGATATGATTAATACAAAAGAAATAATTAAGAACATTGATGTGAAATAGTAAAGTCGTTGTAGAAACAAAAATTTTGTTAGAACTCAATTAGATGCACTGTCTAATTGTAATAGGTAATATATATATATATATATATATATATATATATATATATATATATATATATATATATATATATATATATATATATATATATATATATATATATTTCATATATTTTAACCAATTTCTAGATACATAAATATACACTATAGCTTCTAATAAAATTGCATAAAATATTTGAAATTATAAAAAGTTTTTCACATGTTTGATGTATCTTACTTATAAATTTGTTTAAAATGCAAGTTATGAATTATGTGAATTATTTTTTGTAATCTAGTTTTATGTTTATTCATTTTGCTATATAAATATATGTAATTCTTAGCTTGAAATCAACATTTGGTTCGTAAGACAATTTCAGCATCAATACTTAATTTATGAACAAAAGATATATAAATCTAATCTCAATTGGATGCAGAAAGAATAAAACTCTTTATAGCAGAAATGTTACTTAGATTTGTAATGACTTAGATTTTTTGCCTTGATTTCACAAACAATTTAAAATTTTCCATAAATAAATTTTGCGGTTTGTAAAAGAATTTTTGTGTTATTTTTGCTAGATTCAAAAATTTCATTGGCATATTAGTAAAAAACTAATGACATATTGAATAGTAATATATGAATATACGTATATCTTTAAGATTAATATAACTTGAAAATAACACAAACTTATCATTAGATCAATTTGTACTTGTTTAAATTTATTATGAATTATATAATTCACTTCATTAAAAAGATATGGAAAATCATATCCATAGAATTAATTAACTTTTCTTAGGGTAAGTTATAGTAGGTAATTGCAAAAAAACGAAAACGAAAATTTTTATATATCTTTACGTTTGAGAAGTTTTTGAACATTTTGGCATACCTTAGAAAAAATTGATGTATGTGTGTGTATGTGTGTGCGGATACAATTTTTTGTCGACGATTTTGCGAACATGGATCAACCGATTTGAATTATTCAAAGAACATTCGATTCCTACTCTACTTCTCTCAAAGGCAGGTCCAGCCGTTTCGAAGATACGGAACAAAAAGTGCCAAAAATGGTATTTCAGTTTTTGAGATAACGGAGCGTCCGATTTAAATAATTTAACAAACATTTTACTTGTATTGACGAAATAAACTGGTGAATTTTTTGTGAAAACGGGTTCAGCGTCTTCGGAGATCCCATATTATCAGTTATTTTATAAAGATTTGTTGTACAATAATAAGTACAAATTTTGTACGAGTCGTCTAATTTACACTTTAGACGACTATGCGGCGCTTCCGCGCTTTGATATTTAAAAAAATATCAAACTACAAAAACAAACAATTTTATCATAGAAGTCAATTTTTTTTTCAAAAATTTCAAAAGTTCTCAAAAAACTAATTTTTTCAGAGTTTTGAAATTTAGTTTTTGGTACGAGAAGTTCCAGCAATTAGCATTAAGGCACGATGCCATGCACAACTAGTTAAAAATTATAATACGTGTCATATTAAAATATTATTCTGTGAATTAGAACAACAAAATTCTGATTTTTCTGATTCTGAAATTTCCTCGTCAGTCGTTGTTTTGCTCAAAACCCTTTGAATTACATGCACACGTGCTCTAGAAATTTTGTAAAAATGCTAAAATACGATTCTTGGTTAAAAAAACGTAAAAATCGTAGAGGAGGAAGCTTTGTGTCACCTGCTTGGTGCTCGAACGTAACAAAATAAAACTGTATGTGTATCGTAAATAAAAAACAAGGCGTGTGCGCGTGCTAGAACTTACCATTACAATTATAACAAATATTTTGGGGAAGAAATATATATATATATATATATATATATATCATGTGTGTGTGTTTTATATATGAGTATATATTGTTCGAATAACGGGGTCCCCTATTTTCACTTTTGATCAGCGAACGCGCCCGTACTATTCGGCAATAAAAAACGAGACTCTTAAAAAACGCATAGCAGTGTGTTTTTTATTTTATCCCCGTGCCTGCGCTCAGAGCACCCGGAATTAGTACCGCGGAGTGCTTCCAAGCGAACTGGGTGAATTATTTTTTCTTTTTTTTCGTCTTTTACCTGCGCCACGTCGGAACGCGTGCCGCGGATTCATTATACATGCATTTGCTTGAGACACGGGTTGGAGATGATCAGGAGACAGTGGGCGCCAACCTGTGATAAAGGATTTTGATTGGAAATGATGTTTTGTAATTTGTTGTTGCTAGTTTTTTATAAAGGTTTTAATGTTATATTTAAATGTTTTTTTAATATTATTTAATTAAAAAAATAATATATGCAATTTTTTATATATCATTTGAGGATACTCCATGATGCAATGGCCAAGTTCTCAGACTCGTTTAGACGGTGTCGTGAGTTCGAATCTCACACTGGACAACATGACATCGGGCAGCAGCGATGTCTATTTTTACTTGACAATGTAAATTAAATGTAAATTAGAAATATGTTTCCTATTGAAAATAGCAATAACGGACACTGCTGTGTGAAATGGCAATGGAAAATCTCTCACAATTCTTTTTTGAATCAAGTTAGGGTTTAACCCAGCTCACGGACCTACTTTAGAGCAGTACTACTCATTATTGCGGTTGTGCCTAAAATTATCTTTGCGGCTTGTAAAAAATATTTCAAGCTGAATAGATTGTGAATTATAACACCTTTTTTTATTATTTAAGAACGATCAGATTTACGTGTTCTATGAGCTGTATTTACTATCACGTACACAATAAATTTGCAATATTCACGAGAAGGCCAATCTGGGCTATTTATATTTGATATGTATTTTGTATAGTTTGGCCTATATGTATTGCACTTGAATTTTTTTTTGAAATATATAACTTCAAGTAGAAATTTGATATCATACTGCATGATATCAAGCTGGTCCAGTTTGGGATCGAAGCAATTATTACATATATCGTTACTAATCTTCAAAATCACCTTTTGACTTTTTACAGTTTGGAAAGTTATATTTCAAGTAAGGATTAAGTGATTAAATTTATTTTATAGGTAAGGTTAGGAGCGACTGTACTTGATTTAGAGGTCTCGGGTTCGATCTCCACTTCGAGCAGCCTGTAGTCAGACAGCAGTGACAAGGATTTTTACTTGGTAATATAGATAGCAATACGTTTCCAAGTGAAAATAGCCTTTAATCCGCACCAATTAAAAATGTCAGCATTATTAGATAAATTTTTATAAAAAAAATCATCAAATATGGATGGATTAACCATTGGGTTATCATCTAAGAATACAAAGTTTCAGCTCAACAGCTTATAGGAGTTAAGGTTCTGATTGCTGTTAAAAAAAAATAGAAAAAAAAAACATAGTATGTATGTAATACAGTATGTATTACATACTGATTACTTAATACTTTTCGTTAACACTGACAATTATTTTATTGACACTGCAATGCTGAGGAAAGGCTATTTTTACATGGAAACATATTGCTATCTATATTACCAAATGAAAACCGATGTTACTACTTGACATCAGACTGTTCGAGGCGAGTATCAAACCTAGAACTTCTGATTTAAAGTTTCACGTCACTAGGGAACCTAAATTTAGATTAAAAAAATGATAGTTTATTATCACTAGTTGTCAAATCTTATCAAAAGGTTTTTTGTAAATCTAATTGATTATTAACTGGGTGCGCTAATCTATAAATTTTGTAATTATTAACACTAATTAACTTGATCAAATTTTATCAACTAAATGTAAACATTTTATATCATTTTTTTAAATGTTACTGAATTAAAAAATCGCACTTAAAGTGTGTTGATAACCTAAAAAAACAGAATTCAGAAAAAATAAAGTTTCAGAAAAAAAATTTAGAAAAAGTAAAAAAAAAGCCAAGAGATATACAGTTAATACTATCTTAAAGCAAAAAATTAAAATAAAATTAATATTTTTATTTTGGAATATCATTACATCAAGATCATACAAAGTTATTAGTGGTACTAACGCAATGAAGTTTTAAAAACATGTCAACACGTTTCGTAATTGAGAAGTAATAAATATTTTTTTTTTATATTTTTTATCAAATGGTTTGACACCTCTGCACGATGAAGGGTGCTTAACTCGCGCGAGCGAACTCACGTCGGAAGTCGCGGATGCATTTAGAAAATGATCAATTAAACAGTTGCGCGAGAGCAGCCTTTCAGATGTTAATACTAGAGATATTAATTCTAATGATCGTATACGAAGTTTC